TTTAAAAGGAAGAAAAAAAAAAAACCAGCCAAGAAGGCCTGACTGAGCCCTTGAAGGTTTCCAAAAGGGTCTTGTGGGCAGAGACCCCCATTCTTCAATCCTATCTAGGCCTCAAAAGAGAAGATGCTTTGGGTGGCCCCGAAATCTGTTTTTCTGTTTATAATTAACAGGCAGGACTTGCTGGGGAGGTTGGGAAATGAATCTTGGCTGTTTTCTTGGAGTTGTGCTGCTGCTTTTCCGGTGACCGGGGGGGGGGCTTCCACTGCCCCCCCCCCTTTCCTTTCCCTTCCCTGGGATAAAAGCTTCTCTTTCATTTATTTATTTGCAAGGCCTCTTATTACAGGAAAAGCCACCAGCGATGACTTCACCAGACAAGAATGGCCTTAAACATTTGCCCAGCTATTGGGAGGGGGGGTGTTTTTCCCCTCCCTCCGTGCCTTTCAGGAACAGAAAGTAGAAAGCAGCTGTGCTAAAGCCGCCATGAAAAAGACAGGGGGATCCTTTATGAATTATCTCGAACCCTGGATCAAGGGGGCAAGAAAGGGAAATTGGGGGGGGGGGGGAGAAACAGCCTGGGCCTTGGACAGAAGAAGGCTGGGCTCAGCCATCTGCTCAGGGTTTCAGACCCTCCCCACCATGGGAGCTCTTAAAAGCCAGAGGGGCCAGGAAGTGGAGTTTCACAGCTTTCCAAAACAACAACACGGTTTTCTAAGTTCATTATCATTATCGTCCTCGCTTTCGAGAACAATTCTAACAAGGGCATTGCTGGAGGTTTTGGGACCAGAGCCCAGGAAATGGAAGAGGCCACCCACATGGTTCCCAGAGAGCTTCGACAAAGGAGCCAGCCTCCCCACCCACCCCAAACCATGTCTTTTCCCCAATAAAAGGAATGGGAATTCATCAGGATAAACAACTCTGGCTCCACCCCGTCTCTCTATTTCGGATCTGCTCTAGGAAATCCAGAGAAGTGGGGATTTTCAGCAGGTGATTCATTAGTGCCCAAGCCCCAATTTTCATCGGCTTTAATTAAATTGTGGGGAGAGGAAAGAAGGAACCTGTGAAGTTAACAACAACAACACTTAATTAACTTCATTTTCAGAGATTAAGGAGGGTGGGTATTTTAACAGCAAACCTCCGTTCAGGGACCGGTTTATGAAAGAGAAAATATTGTTCAGATTCTTGGGGGGCCTAACAATGTTTTCAACAATCAATTGCTGGTTGTCTTCTTCAGTGACTCACTTTGCACTGTGTCACCAAATCGTTGAAGTCTCATTCGAAAGCAGTTTGGCTTTACTGCAGCTGGTCCTGAACGATTTGTTCTTTCCGAAAGTTTAAAAATTTTTCCCCTCGTCCTAAAACAACACATCAGTCCTTCCCCCTTCGGTTTTGCTGACTGCCATTGAAGTGGGGTTTTTTTCCCCCTCTCCTTTCCATTTAGACCTTGAGAGCTGACTCTTCCGCAGCGAACTGGGCGTGTGAGCCCATGAAAAGCAGAAAGGGGAAATGGTTATGGTGTCGGTGCTGCTGGAATTCCTTAATCTGGTTTCCTCCTATTCGTGAGGGTGAATGCCGCCCTTGATCGCTTCAGGTAAACCTTTCTGAGCTGCAGAGCAAGCAATCTTTTATTTTTTTTGCCTAAAAGCTGAACCAATTTGCATCCTCCCAAGGGACTGGCAATTCTGCCATCTGCTTTGCTGGAAGTATTATGACCTTTGCTCAAAAAACGTCACCGCATCACACCCATCAGTCATTTCCAGAACACCCATCTACTTATTGCAAAACTGACAAATTTATAAATACCAGAGTAAAGGAAAAGGCACCGGGGTCTGTCAGTTACACCAAGGAGCAGTACAAGCTGGAGGGGAAGTGGGCTGTGCGTGTGGAATACTTCAAAGAACCTCACTGGATTTAAGAATCTACCAATACGTGAACTTTTTATGGCCAAAAGAACATTTGCGATATTCAGACAAATACATTCCTCTGCTTCATCAAAGCAGGACGTTCTAAGGAGACAGGGGAAGCCTGCCCTATATATATATATATATAACATTACCAACAACTTGAAGGGTTAAATTAATTTAATTCAGAGGAACATTCAAGCACATATATTAAACACTCTGTTGCTACGTTGCAAAACAGCGATTCTGCCTGGGAGGAATGTGGGCAGGCAGGGTACGAATCAGTAAGGCCTCCATGTTGCTGGCAAACTTGGGCTTTATTGAGGTCAAGGATTTCAGAATAAACCTCTCTCTGGCTTTCTCTACCTGCAACTCTTCCCTATCACAAAAAGAGAAGTTAACCCAGTAGCCCAGCAGCCAAGCGGGGTGACAAGAGAACTGACAAGACGGCTTCTCCTGATCTGCCAGAAGGAACCACAGGCTCAGGGTCCTTATTAAACTAGAACAGGTTCCCTCTGGATTCTCACCAGAGAGACATTCACAGCTACTGGGGTTTGAGTCAAAATGGGGTCAGACAGGAGGGGAGAGGACAGGCCAACACCATCGCAGGTCTCCCTTGCAATCGTGTGAAAATAGGGAAACTCCGGCACTGCCTGTTTGGTTGGACAAGAAAACCCCAGCTGAGACACACACACACACTCGCAGGGCACCAGCATTTGTAAACAGAGCTTTGGAGAAGTGCCATTTTGCATATTTCTAAGGAAAGGGAGGGGACTTTGCATACTCTGCCATTAAACCCCCCCACAAGGCATTGCAATAGGCTGGTTCTGTTAGTCCCTATGTAAAATACTTCCCTAGAAAAACTCTTTTGAGTTTTTCTTTCTCAACCACATTTCTGGGGCAAACAAAAGGGGGCAGTTGAACATGTGTGGAATGTTTTAATTTCCTTGCACATCCCTGCCATGCCTTTTTAACCAGCTCAAGTGCTCACAAAACAGCCGTTTGGAAACAATGAGGTGCAAGTCACAGGTCAGACCCTAGCCAGAATTTAGACCACCCTGAACGAAGAAAGGCGGCTTCGTCCCACATCCCTGAAGCTGGCTACTTCTATTCTTAAGAGCGCATCTCCAGCCCTGCCTCTCCATCCCCACGGAAGGGAAGCGCCAGGCCAAGGTTTTAAGCCTGGTCTACCAACGAATCGCCTGGCAACATTCAAGGGGGAGGAAAGGAAGAAGAAGGGGCGATCATTCAGCCACAAAAAACGAAAACAAACACTTCGGGTTTCTGTATTAACAGAAAGGCCTCCTCACCTGGCGAGAATCACTGAAGGGTTTTTTTTTTATTAAGACGGTTTATGTAAACAAAGCAGATCTTCCAGCACCTCGCCAAGAGGGGTGTCCAACCCTGGCCACTTGAAGACTTCTGGACTTCAACTCCCAGAATCCCCCAGGTATTTGAAGTCCACGGTTATTAAAGTGGCTATGGTTGGATACTCCTGGCCTAGACTGATGCACAGGGAAAACTAAAAGCAATTCTAGACTGCAAATTAAAACTCCTGCCCCTGTGAACTGAAGCCATTCTCCTGAATAAAAGGGGGGGGGGGGAATCAAAGAAAACTCAGCTTATGAACTGTTTCATCCTCAAAGGTTTTAGAAAAGGCCATCAGGCATCCAGGAAGCTGCCCAGATTAGAATGTGTGTGTGTGTGATCTCACTGCTAATTCACGCATGTTATTTTGCTTTCTTACAGGATAAATGACATTCATGTGCAAGTTTAGCTCTTTTTTTTAAAAAAAAAGCATCCTTTAAGATCAACGCGGGCATCAAAAAAAAGAAGTAAAGCAGAGCAATGGAAAACCCCAAAGGGCTCCTTTTTCTTCCCAAGAGGGAGGAAGGAAAGGAGGAGTCTTAAGCTGTCCAGTACAGTCACATGGATAAACTTGTTGACTTGGATGAGGAGGGTTTTCTGAAATGCCCAGGATATGCAGATGGGGCTGTGTGGGGAAACCAATCAAAGAGTCCAATCAAATCCAAACTGATCACATTTTAAGAAAAAAACCAAAACCTCTTCGCAATCGTTCTCAAAAGATAAAAGCGGCTTCAAGGGTGGACGCATTCTGCAGGCTTCATCGGTCCCAGGTGAAGTTTATCACGGTTGCAGGCTGAGCTCCACTGCAGGGAGCAGTTGAGTGTGTAAGGGGGGGTGGGGGGAGGCGCTTAATGGCAGTGTAACGCTTTCAAAAGGAGGGCAGTGGAAAGAAAGATGAAAAAATGGAAAAAGAAAATACAGCCAGCCCTTTAGAATACGATGTGTTGATGATGAGCGGCTGAAGGGACACCTTTTCTCTCAGCGATGGGGCAATAAACGCGTTGCCTGCATCTGCCAAACAGTTCAAGGCATTTCCCAGAGATGACCAGGAAGTGCTTAGGGGGCCTAAACACCCCTCCGTACTTCAGCCCCAGCGGTATTCTCCAAGGCGGAAGGGGCGCGATTGTCGCCCTGTGCAAACAGATCACTCACTGCTCAGTTCAGCCAACTGTCTCTCCTCCTGGCCAGTCCAAGCGCACCTCCTCCTCCTCCTGCACAGTCCTTCTAGCTTCGTGTGAGTGAAGCGGAGTCCCCCACGTTTCTTCCCTTGGCAAAAGCGGCTTCCGTTTGTAAGACCTCCTTGCTGGGCTGCCTTCTATCCCGGGACAGTTCATAGGAGTCCTTCTTGGGGAATTCCAGCTGTCTCGCTTCCCGCTCGGCAAGAGGAGAACAGCTCAGTTTTCTACTCACAGCAGGAGTCCAAGCTAAGCTCCACTCGGGTGAGCCCCCCCCTTTTTTTGGTTCACCGGATCAAGTAAGCCAAGCTCGCTCCTAGGCCAGCCACGCCCGCAAAAGCCACCAGAATGTTTCTGATGCTGCCTTCCAGGTCCTCTACATGGAAGAATTTAACAAAGCCCTCCTAAAAGAAAGAATGGTACCGTTAATGGCTTTGAGACAGGCAACAGCAGCACCGGGCAGCTTCAGGAAACCACGGAAAGCAAGCAAAGCGGGTCACGCCTGAAGAGAGGAGCGAATTAACTGGAATTCCTATCGAATGTGACTTCTTATTTCAAACCCCTTCAGAGGAGAACTTAAGCCTTCCATACACCCCAGGAGCCCCTCCTCTAGAAAGCCTCTTGGGGGAACAGGAAAGTTGGTCATGCAATCACTGCCTCTACGTGTCAAAGAACACCAGCTCCTGTTTTGATGAGGCACACCCCATAATCCAGTTTTTTAAGCAGGATTTTTGTGTCTGGACAACTAGCCTCAAGCGCAGCTGAAGTTTCCTCCCCCGCCCTCCCTGTCCGTCATAAGGAGGAAGAAGAAGCAAGGGAACCTCCCAAAGGCCAGGAATCTTACTCACCCAGCCGTTGTGATGCAGCAGCCACTCTCTCTTCTCCGTCACCAGCACCTCCGTGATAATCTCCGCCAAAGTGTTGATGCCGCTTTCCTGATTTATGCTCTTCAAGTGTTTGGCAACAAAGGCACCAAAAGAAATGAGAGTCACAATCCGACCCCAGTTTGTTATGCCGTCGTTGAAAACCTGCGTTGCAACTTCTGACATAACCTTCAAGTCGTCAGCTTTGTCGATCTGCACTTTCCTCAGCATTCCTGAATGAAGAAGGGAAGGAAGAGCTTTAGGCAAAGTGCCACCAAAAGGTCAAAGAGGAAAAAAAAACATATCAAAAACAAACTCTGGGTTTTTTTCTTTTCCAGGGGAGGATGGGGGGAAAGCCCCCCAGAAACATGGTCAGCCCTGATACAGTTCACCCATATAGCAACTAGAACTAAAAGGAAACAGTAATTTTGTGTACTGTGTCTAATTCTCAGCCCCAGTGATGTCCCAAGCAAAGGAGTATTGTAGTTGTAGTTCAGCTTGCAAAATGGTGCCACGTAAGAGGCTAAGGCAGAACTGGATTCCCCAGTCGATCTCTCAAAGCGTCAGGAAGTTTGAATTCAGGTGAGGAGAGTCCCTGTGGTATAGTGGATTATTCAGAAGGCTTTAAGCCTCCCGGGGAAGCAGGTGCCGATGAAATTGGTTACCAGAGTATTCAATGAATCTTACCAGAGTATTCAATGAATCAGCCAAATGCTATTGTGCTGTAGGGGTAGAGACCAGCCCTCTGCCTGTTCTGTGTCTGCCTGTCATGGCCCAGGATGCTGCCCACTCATACATCACCCTGGAAACTCATCGGCAACCATCCATCCCATTTATCAAGAAAACTCAAAAGCTGCCAAACTTCAAACACTTCACTAAAATCACCCCAAAGGCAAAGCACTGCTGACTTGGTCTCCAGCAAAGGGAATTAAAAACCCTGGCTAGCTAGAGAAGCTTCTGCTGTGTGTGTGTGTGTGTTTTTTTTAAACACCACCCTGTTTACAATGAGCTATTTTTCGCTTGCTGGGCCCAGCAGGATACGAGCCACTGATAAAGCTAATCTATAATGAGATTTTTTTTTTCCCCATCTCTGCCTGCCTGCAAGGTCGCCCCTCCTCCCCCCACAGTACAAAGTGCAGTTTCCTTTCTGCTGCAGGCTGATACTTTCACAATGACTGCTTGCAGCAAAAACAAGGGGAGGGGGAGGGACAGAGAAGGAAAGAGAGAAGCCAGGCTGGTCTGCAGCAGCCCCAGGCCACACACAGCCTCCCAGCTACCAGGGTGGCCTCCCCCAAAGGGGAACCCCTGAATGTAACAAAAAAAAAAGAGTATATTTTACATCCCTTCCTGCATATCTCGCATCATCTCGATCCTCCCTTGCTTGCAGCCTTTTCAGCAGGATGCACTGCAATTTCTTAATATTTGCACCCCTCCCTAAGCCTCCCTCCCCCCGCCCCCCTTTGGGGGGGGGGGAGGGAACTAACTAGACAAGTTTTCCGTTTATATTGCAGTTAAATATTTGCACCTTTGCAATCCCATGCTTTTTCAGGGTGGGGCTAACTAGACCAGCCCTCTAGATGCATGGCACTTTCCCAATATTTGCACCCCCCACCCCAAATCTCACCCCCAATCCTTGCTTGTCCCTTTGGGTGGGGGGAGGGGGGGAGAAGGGGGAGGGATTACTAGACCAACCTTCTGTTTGCATTGCAGTGCCTCAATATTTGCTGCCCTTTGAGGAAGCTAACTAGACCAACTTTCTGTTTATATTGCAGTTTAATATTTGCACACAAGACACAGCCCGCGTTCCATCCACTCCTTCCCTGCGAGGGGTGGGGGGAAGCCCCTCTGGGACTACAAACCCCATCAGGAGCACCAATGCAGCAGGGGGAAGGAAAGGATTGACTGTTGTGCTCTCTTTTTAATATGTTGTATTGTCTTCATGTTGGAATATTGTTTGTCCTTTCCCCCCCCACCCCCTTTTTGAACTGTGAGCCGCCCTGAGTCCCCCCCAGGGAAAAGGGCGGCATACAAATAAAGGGAAAACTAAACTAAACTAAGTCCACCTTGAAAGGCCAGCTGGAGATTCCCCATGATGTGGTCCCAGACCTTGATGGGGGCTGACTAGGCCAACTTCTCTGGATGCGTGGCACTTTCTCAATATGTTCACCCCCCTCCCCAAATCCCATCTCCGGCTTGCTGTCCTTTTGGGAGGGAATGGGTGGGTGGATTACTAGACCAGTGTTTCCCAACCTTGGCAACTTTCAGTCCTTTGGACTTCAACTCCCAGAATCCCCCAGCCAGCATAGCTGGCTGGGGGAATTCTGGGAGTTGAAGTCCACAGGACTAAAAGTCGCCAAGGTTGGGAAACACTGTACTAGACCAACTAATAATTCTGTTTGCATTGCCGTTGTTCCCTCAATATTTGCACACACACAGAGCCCGAATCCCATCCTTCCCTGCGAGGGGGGGGGGAGAGGACTACAAAGCCCATCAGGAGCACCAATGCAGTAGGCGGGGGGGGGGGGGGTTTGGCGGCCCACCTTGGAAGGCCAGCTGGTGCTTCTCCCGGATGTCGTCGCAGACCCTCCGCAGCGTCTCCAGGGCCCGGGCCGCCGTCTCCGCCTCGCCGCTGGCGCAGGGACCGAAGCGGCCCAGCAGGCCCTGCAGGAACTTCCCGCCGCCGCCGCCGCCGCCGCAACCGCCGTCTTGTTTGGGGGTCTCCTGGTCGGCCGCTTCCCGCAAGTAGGAGGCCACCAGCTCCAGCGTCACCTGGCGCAGCGGGTCGACGGGGCCGGGCGTGGTGGGGGAAGCGGCGGCGGAGGAAGCGGCGGAGGAGGAGCAGGAAGAAGCGGCGGCGGGAAGCTCCGGCTCGGGCTCGCAGCCGTCCAGTTCGTCTTCGGGGGTCGCCGCCGCCTGGCCAATCAGCGCTCGCGCCGCCGCCTCCTGGGGCCCAATCAGCGAGAGGGGCCCCGCGCGACGCCCTCCGCCAATCAGCGCCCGAGGCCCCTCAGCGCAGCCCAGCCCCGCACAGCCGCTTCGGATTCCGCCGGGAAGGAGAGCCAGGCCGCCTTCGCCTACGGCGCCGTTTCCACCTCCTACGCCCACGCCGCCCACGCCGCCGCCGGGAGACTGAGGGGCGGCCGGTGCCAATCCGGGAGAGCCGCCGCAATACAAAACCATCGTCTTCTTGTTGAACATGGCGGCCGGTCTTGCCCTCTCTCTCACGCGCGCGCGATGTCTTCGTCTGGAGAGGAGGAGGAGGGGAGTGGCGCGCGCGCGGGGCGGCCGTTATATATGCCGGCCGACGCGTGACGTCGCCGCCGACGCACGGGAAGTGGGCGGGGCCGATGGCGGCGAATGAACACAGCGAAGGGACGGGCAAGGGACTCCTCCACTCTCCGAGAGGGGGCGGGGGGAGCAAAGGTTCCGGGTAGCCAATCAGAAGCGGGATTGGAGGTGGTGTTTTTTTTTCCCCTCCCCATTTTAATCCCCTCCCTCCTCTCCCTTTCATCTTCCCAGCAAGGATGGACGAGACCATTTTTTGCTTTGGGAAAAGGGGAAGAGAGAAAGAGGGGAGAATGGAATCGCCCTGCGGATGGGAGGGGCGGGGGGGAAATGGAGTGCAGAGTTGCAAAGCGGCGCCCGCGGGCGCCCGCAACCTCCTGAGTTGACCCTCCTCCCAGAGGGAAGGGCGGGGGCGTGCATTGCAAGCCCCTCTCGGGCGGGGTGGATCATATTCATCCAGTTAGTTAGTCCACGGGTGTCCAAATACAGTAACAAGAGCTGGAAGGGACCTTGGAGGTCATCTAGTCCAACCTCATCCAGGAGACCTGTACTACGGGCTAGTACAGATCTCCCTGAGCAGGGGATTGGACTAGATCAGTGTTTCTCAACCTTGGCAACTTGAAGATGTCCGGACTTCAACTCCCAGAATTCCCCAGCCAGCGTAACTTACTCTCTCGTAGTCTCTTCTGAAAGTTGCCAAGTTTGAAGACTTCTGCTTTAATGGCTAAGAAAGGAGGAGCTGCATTCAGCAGATGTCAGATTGATTTTTACAGATGTATCCGTGTTTCTCTTGTAAACCAGCCAGAGTCTTTGAACGTGGAAGTAACTGGAAAATTCCCTCTACACAGTAAAGCCGTTTTCACGGATGGGAAGAAAAACTCGGGAGAGAAAAAGGAATTTAAACGCAACGGCCCTGCCTCTGTTCAAAGTCCAGCCACTCAACACAACACCCCCCCCCCCCCCCCCCC